GGTGCCATAGCAGGAATCACTGCGTGAAATTCTCAGGCCTGTGTTATGCAGGAGGTGAGAGAAGATGATCACAATGGTCTCTTCTGGATATAAAATCTATGAACGGATCAAGCTAAACACACCCTAAAAAAGCCCCACATCACTGAGCAAAGCCAGCCAGCTTGGCTGAATGCAGTGATGGAAATTCCCAGCGTGTGTTATGGAACCATTAAGCTGTAATCACTGAAGGACAGGTTATCTGGGTTTGCCTGTGACTCTCCATCCCCCTCCCAGAGATTAGATCTGTTACAGTCACGTACCTTTTCAAAAAACCTTTTACATTTAATTTCTGTCAGCACCTTATTCTCACCTGCCGCAGGTGAGACCCCCACCTCAGAGTCTGCCACTTACACAGTAATTAGTGCAATCTCATGGGATTTGTGTATGCATGCGTACAGCTGTTTTTCTTACCCATCCCTCCTTCTGAGAGGAATTTTTCATCAACTTGCTCTGGAAACATCATGAGCCACAACAGCTCCACAAACAGATCCCACTAGAGCAGACTGAAGGAGTTTTTAAAAACAAATTATCTAATTGCTACTAGTTAAAATAATACAGGAGTAGCTTGAAGAATGCTGCAGAAGGATGTTCCTGGACTGGGGGTCAGGAGACATAGGATTGGTTCTTAGTTCTGCCACAGACTCACTGTGTGACTGTGGGCAAGTCAATTAAATATCTCTCTGTTTCACTCCTCCAGCTGTAGAAATGGGAGAAGAGTATTCTCTTCTAACCACCTTTTGATGGTCTTGCCTATTTAGATTGTAAGCTCTTCAGGGCAGGGGTTGAGTTACTTTTTGTCAGTACAGAGCCTAATACAATGGGTCCCTGATCTCAGTTGTGGTCTCGGTGCTACTACAAGTAATAAAATAAAATAATAATAATAATAATAAAGAACCTTAGGTCTCTACCTTTAAATTCCAAGGGAACCCAAATGTGTTTCTCTAAAATAAATTCCATTTTCTATATTGACTAGGAGACATTCTTTGCTGGAGGCAGGATCCTGGACTAGATGCAGTGCTGAAATGCTGTAGCCTAGCAATTTCTATATTTTTAGGAATGTGTGCAAGTTCCAGTGTACAGATTTGCCTTTGAGGCTATACCTATAGTGGGTGTTTTTTTCCCACTGAAAAATCAGCCTACAGTCTTGGTCAAGTTTCGTTCTACAAAGGGCTGGCAAGGGAAATGAGTGCTTCCTATGTTATTTTGTTTCCTCTGAGCAGGTTTCTCCCATCCCTACTTGCAATCTGACCTGAACAGAAAATGCATGATTAGTTTGTTCCAAGAGAGCTGAGTCTGAGTCATAAAGCTCAGATCTGTCTCCAAACCCAAGACCTCCCAAAAGTTCAGGAATGGTCCCATAAGAACGGCCATATTAGATCAAACCAATGGTCCATCTAGCCCAGTAGCCTGTCTTCTGACAGTGGCCAATGCCAGGTGCTTAAAGGGAATGAACAGAACAGGACGAATTATTGAGTGAGCCATCCCCTGACATCCAATCCCAGCTTCTAGCACTCAGATGTGAAGGGACTCCCAGAGCATGGGGTTGCATCACTGACTGTCTTGGCTAATAGCCGTTGATGGACCTATCCTCCAGCAACTTATCTAATTATTTTTTGAACTAAGTTACACTTTTGGCCTTCACAAAATTCCCTGGCAATGAGTTCCACAATTTGACTGTGCGCTGTGAAGAAACACTTCCTTTTGTTTGTTTTAAACTTGTTGCCTATTGATTTCATTGGGTGACCCCTGGTTCATGTGTTATATGAAGGGGTAAATAACACTTTTTTGTTCATTTTCTTCACACCATTCATGATTTTATAGATCTCTATCATATCCCCCTGTCATTTGTCTCTTTTCCAAGCTGAATAGTCCTAGTCTTTTTAATCTCTCGCTTCACATGGAAGCTGTTCCATCCTCCTAATAATTTTTGTTGCCCTTCTCTGTACTTTTTCCAATTCTAATATATCTTCTGTGAGATGGAGCAATCAGAACTGCATGTATTATTTAAGGTGTGGGCACATCATGGATTTATATAGTGACTTTATGATATTTTCTGTCCATCTGGAGTGTTGGTTCAAGCCTGTCTCTAGATGCTTATTATTATTATTTCTATCATGGTAGCACTTGGATCCTAGATCAGGGTCCCATTGTGCTAGGCTCTACACATGGTAAGAGATAGACCCTGTCCTAAAGAGCTTACCATCTAAATAGACACAGGGCCAATTATTATCCTGAATTTACAGATGGTGAATTAAGTCACAGAGATTAAGTGATTTGCCCTGATCACACAGAGTGTTTGTGGCAGAGCCGGGAAATGAGCCCAGATCTCTTGAATCCCAGTTCAGTTCATTAGCCTTCCTCTCAATAACAGTGTAAGCTTGGATGTGTCCATTGCATAAGCCAGAGAGACCTGGCACACTCCTTCATTTAATTCAACCTTTTTCCCCCCTTTAAAATAGAAAAAGGACTAAGACTTTCTTCCTGAGCTTCAGGGATCCGTTAATTGGCTCCCTAGTAAAATTACACAGAGTCGGCTGCCTGATAATGATTGTAAATGACAGAGACTATCAGGTTTACCTTGTGACGTCCCTGGGGAGCTTGCAGTTAGTTTAGTCTGAACTCTGCTTCAGCTGTTCGGGTTCCTTTCTTCTCGGCATGCGGTGGCTGGGCTCAAGCTGCAGTCTTTCAAACCTAATTAGCGTTAGGGGAAGAGGGAAAAAAAACAACACCCTTTTTCCTTCCCTTGGCTGACTTTGTAATGTAAGGACAGAGCCTAATTTATGCCACAAGTTCCTTTTGAGTTTTTATATTTCATAGCAATATCTTCAGTTGTGTTCGCATGAGAAGAGTATTTTGGAGTATTTGAACTGTTAGGTCTTTTCTCCCTTGGCATGGTAAAGAAGCACTAATCTCCCAAGAGTAGTTAATTATGACTGTTCCATGCATTGCTCAGCAGAAATTCAGGTATCTTCTGCCTCCTCTTAGAGAAAAGATATTATCATGCTCCTCCTCTCCCCGGGTGTGGTATTAGCATTTGAGCTCATCAACATCTTGAAACATCAATAATAATTTAATTTTCAAAATCCATCTCTCACCCAAAAAGTAAAGCAAAACCAAACAAAAATGACAAAAATTCCTTCCACATACCCACACTTGGACCATCTCTAGAGTTGGTTGGCCTTTTTTTGAATTTTTATTTTTTATTTAAAAAACAAACATTTTGAAATTTCAAATTTTGAGGAACTTGGAATATTTTCTGGGAGAAAAGGCCTGGTCCTCTAGCCTTTTTTCCTGAGCATCTCTAGTTGTCATGGGTTTTTTGAACTTCTTTGTTCAACTGTCCTTTGCCCAGATCCTTAGCCCTCCAGCTGACCCATTTGTTGCTGTTGTTGTTTTACACTTGAGAAGAGCAGCTAGCCAGGCAAGGAAGCTTTTCCCCCTTGGCACAACTGGCACCTATAAGATGGAGGTGGAGATTACCTTCTCTGAAGTATCAGGTATTGGCCATAGGCAGAACACTGGGCTTGATAGTCTAACCACACATAGTATATTTCAAAGAATCTATATCCTACATTTACTTGCGAGAAAGCTCAAAAATAAAGGGAAAGGGGAAAATGAGATGGTAAACGAAAGATGAGAGGGGAAGACAGAGTGGAAGAGAGACAAATCAGAAACATGTATTTCACAATTAGGAATGCACTGGGGTGCTCCCTCTGGGTCTGTTGCTCCATTGAAGTGAATCGGAGTTTTGCCATTGATTTAACAGGCACAGAACCAAGCTCTCCATGCCATCTTCCACAGAAGGGAAGCAGATAGCTATGCTTAGCTCTGCCCCTCTCCTATCCCTGTTTTGTCTAGAAGGGAAAACTGTTACATGCCTTAGCTCTGTGTGTGGCCTGCGAACCAAGGGGGAGATACCTTGTCAGTAATAAGTGGGTAATGCTAATTGGGGACAGATGGGTTACTTTCAAAGGTAGAGCTGGGAACTGGGAGCCCAACTTCCATTGAACTTCCCCGCAAGCGGGGTGTAGCCTAATGATTAATCTGAGGTGCAGAATGCACTTGTCACTAATAACAGCCTCTTTCTTTGGTGGCTACTTAGAGATTAATTATGAAGAAGATGATTGGTGAGACACAAAGATTTCATGAATTTTAGTAATACCACGATCATTATAAGCAAAATCACAAAATTAGAAAAACACGAACAGCAGCAGAATCCACATATTGTATACTCATGAATCCATGGGGCTGTGGGTTCCCCTTAAAGAGAGAAAAACATTAAGGTTGACACCATCCTGCCATCCTGAATTCTTGCCAAGGCTCAGGTTCAATACCCCTTTACGCCCCAATTCCTTACATCCACCTACTTCTGAGACCATATTTGATTAAGTCTCGACCTCTTGTCTATACTTGGGCATTTGGGCTATCTATTTTGGGTATTCCCACTATTGTCATAAGGGTAGAAGGTTCTCTGTTCAATGACATTAAGGAAGTCTGGCTAAATACAGCCTTTGCAGTCTAACAGTCTATCACAGGATACATATTGCTAAATCTTCTAACCCAAGGTTATTTACGTATGCTAACTTACATTAGGCCTAATGTGGCCTCATTCTAAGAATTACTACTACTAGGCCCCAAGCTAAATACTGTGCCCCAGGTCTACTGCAAAGCCTATTTGAAAATAATCCTTACTTTTCTTTGGTTACTCCTACTTTGCATGAGAACTTGAGTTTCATTGGTGTTAATTTAGAAAGAGTTAAGATGCTTGCTAAGATGTAAATGATTATTTACTTGATCATCTGAGTTCAGGTCATGGGTCAAAGGTTAACATGGATGCCTAACTTCTGTAGGCACTTTTGAAAATCCCAGCCTGAGTGGTTACACAGTTGCTCATGTCAGTGTTTAAGCATTTCAAACTGCCTGCTACATCCCTAGGAAAAAATGACCAAGAAAGCTCATTGTGGGGTCTTAGTAACCAATACATTCTTTTTTATTTCCAGGGAATACATCACAATAATACTTCATTCTGCTTTCTGGAGCTGTCCATATGGCTCTGATGCCTCCTTGGTGAAAAATCCTCCTCACAAACTGACAGGTCACTAGTTGCTGTGGTGCTGAATGGGACAACGCAAAACAGCATATCCGTAGGTAACATCTTGAAATCATTTGGGGGACGAGCAATTACATACCTGGAAAAGCACCAGAACATGAGAATCCAACAACTCTGTGGGCTCCTTTGACCTTTGCTAAGTAATGCTCAGGACAGCTAGGGAATAGCAGCTTTTTGCAATGTCTAACTGCACTTGAAAAATCCTTTTGAATAATTAGAACAGGGGTTGGCAACCTTCGGCATGCAGTCCATCAGGGTAATCTGCTGACGGGCCATGAGACATTTTGTTTGCATTGACTGTCTGCAGGCCCCCCACCCCCTGCAGCTCCCAGGGGCCACGGTTCACTGTTCCCGGCCAATGGGAGCTGTGGGACGCAGCAGCCAGCACGTCTCTGCGGCCCACTGCTTTCCGCAACTCCCATAGGCCGGGAACAGCAAACTGCAGCCACTGGGAGCTGCGTGGGACCGTGCCTGTGGACGGTCAATGTAAACAATTTGTCTCGTGCCCACCAGCGGATTACCCTGTTGGGCCTCATGCTGAAGGTTATCACCCCCTGAATTAGAAGATGCATACTATACGGTACCATTCACAGGGCTTTCTTCTGCCCTCATTTATACCTAGGAGTAAGATGTAAGTTTTTAAGTGAGGTTAATTAATCACTGGAAGAGATTACCAAGGGATGTGATAAAGTGCTTTATCACTTGGAGAGTGGGTGTCTTTTTAAGAGAATTGCTCTAGTTCAACCAACATTTTTGGCTCGTTTTAGGAATCACTGGGTGGGATTCTCTGGCCTTGGTCATGTTGGAGATCAGATTAGATGATTATTGTGCTCTCTTCTGACTTTAAAATCTGTGGAATCTATGAATTTGGACAACCCCACTAATGTTACACTCTGGCCTCTTGCTAACGGCCAGTGTTCACATGTAAAGAATAATCAGACATTAAATAAGCATCTTTGTCTCATGCTAGCCCATAGTAGGCACCGTAACCACCACAGAATTAGATATGTCTAAAGGTCTCTGTTCAGGGGATACCCAGGGCCATAACAAGGGTGCTTAGCTTGACTCAGAATTGGGGAAGGGACCAGAATTAGGATATCATGGAGGCACAGCACTGGAACAGATGGGGCTGCTCTAGTTTAAGATTAAGGTTAGCATCTGAGCTGCAAATCAAGACTTAGGTGTCTTGTTAGAGCCACATGAAAGCTTCATCTGCCTGCACTGCACATGTAACTAGTGAATGCTGTGACTCCTTTATTTTCATGAGCACTCCAAAATTGATTATATCTCCTTTCCCACCAGCTAAAATAATTGCTGCATTATGATTATGATTGATTAAACAGATATTTTTTGGATCTTTCTTGCCCAGCTCATACCAAAGTAAATATAAAACATAATTTCAAATAAAATGCACTTCCCTATTCCTGTATGGATTGGGCTCTTCTGTCAGACGGTAGAGTCCAAAGCAAAGGATTCCAAACAAGTCTAATGCTTTGCAGTAAATGTCTCCAAAGGAATCCTGCAGTGAGAGAACAAAAAGTACTCTTAGCTGGAGTGGTCATTGAGCCCTCTGGTGAGATCAGTCGATTAGCAGATTTATTATTATTGGTATTTCTGTAGTACCGAGGAGCCCCAGTCATAGACCAGAACCCCATAGTGCTTAGTGCTGTAGAACCATAGAATAAAAAAAGGACCCAGCCCCAAAGAGTTTACAATCTAAGTAATATTAAGTAAGGATATCTGACACCCTTAGCCACAGATTCAGATCCAATTTAATGATCCTGAATTTTACATATGTCAGCTCAGTCTTATATCTCCACTAGAGCATGTGGGAATGGTTGTGTTTCACGCTCAGCAGCCAGAGAAAAGCCAAGCCAAAGAAATTAGACCCTGATTCAGCAAAGTACATAAGCAGGTTCTTAACTTTAAGCACTTGCTTAAGTCCCATTGATTGAAGGGCTTTGCTGAATCAGGGCCTTAATTTGGAGAGTGGTTTTCAAAATGCTTAATAAGGAAGATCATTGCCTAGCCTTGAGAGTCACATTCACTAGCTTTGGTACATGGTACATGCCAGGATTCCTCACCTCCCACCCCACTCCATTGGCCCTTGTGGATTTGTATGAAGGAGACAATAATGACCACTGGAGAGATGATCGTGGACAGCAATCAGGGCCAAAGGAAGCCAGGTATCTTTGGAAGAGAAAGAGACACATCTAGGCCAGGCCCTGGTCAGTAGGCACCAGCATTTTGGTAAGAGAACAACAAGAGGATAAGTTGATAGAGGGTGATTCAAGTGATATTTCACTCTGAGACTTGCAGGAGGCCAGAGAGTCAATATCATATTAGTCCTGTGGCACCTTATATACTAACAGACGTATTGGAGCATAAGCTTTCATGGGTGAATACCCACTTTGTCAGGCACATCTGGGTGCACCCACGAAAGCTCATGCTCTAATACGTCTGTTAGTCTATAAGGTGCCACAGGACTCTGTCGCTTTTTACAGATCCAGCTACCCCTCTGATACTAAATATCATATTAGGACAGCCAATATCTCAGCTACACAAGTGAATCATGGGATATTTTGTATCTCATCATATTCTTATTAAAGTTCCAAAATATCTTGCTGTAAAAATAAAGGATATTGTTGAGACGATCACCATTGGCCACTCATGGGCTATCTCAGGGCTGTGTCACACGGGTGTCTGAATTTGAGTCCCACTCTTGATCCTGCATCACTGCTAGCCTGTGCTATTCCTTAGTTAGTGATATTGTTTCATGGAGTGGAAATGGTGCTTGTTGCATTGTGTTGCCGTATAACCCTCAGGCCACCCTGCACTTGTATGCAATGGTACTTGTCAGCACATGACATAATACAAAAGACTGAAGAAGCAGGATGATTTATCCTGCGATACAGGTGTGGCCCAAACTAAGTGCACTTGTATCTTAGTGGTACTGGAGCAGGTCTTCGGCAGGTATAAATCAGACAATTTACAGCCATCTGAGGATCTGGCCCACTGTTGCCAAGTAGTAATAGAAGTTGGCATCAGGCTGCATAGGTGGTGAGGCTGGATAAGGAAGGAGCTATTTACTGACTGCACCTGGTAACCAACTCACTATTCAGTGAGAGGTCATGAAATATTTACCCCATAAAACACTGAGATACAAGACATGTCATATACACAGGTTAGTCTGTTCACACTGCTGCACTGATAGTGATATGGGACCTGATTGTACTCTCAATACTGGGTTTCCATTGACTTCAGGGGAGTTACTTCTAATTGACACCAGTGTGAGATCAGAACCAAGCCCACAAAGGGCAACACAACCAAGACTGTGCTATAACTCACCTGGGAATCCGTTAACAGTCTCTTGGACAGTGACACAAGCGCAAGTTTGCACCTAGCTCTGGGGGCCACGTATGTCATGCTTTTGAAACTGCCACTCAGCATATTCTTCTCTGCTAGCTGTTCCTCCAGTTCAGGGCTTGTCCCACCCGTCACCAGAGTCTGGAGCAGAGCCAAGATGTGGTGGTTACAGTAGGTCTGGAAAGGAAGGTTACATCAGACAGGAAAACCTCCAGTTCTTGTCAGGCTGACAAAAGCGATCACCCTATCACTTTAAGATGGAAATGACCTTTGGGTATCTCTAGTACAGCAATCCCTGCCAGTGCAGGATTATTCTCCACAGTGTGTGCTCCAGTGTTTTGACTAGACCTGGTCAGAAAATGGGACTTCTCCCCCCTACCTCACCAGCCATGCCACCCCCTCCTCCACAAATTAGATGAAAATGATAAAGAATTCCTGTCCTGAATCAGGACAAAAGGTGAAAAAAATCTCAGCAATCTTAATGAACCAGAAATCTAGGGGAGGGATGTGTGAAATTGAATTGGATCAACAGAAACATTTCGTTTTGATTTTGAGCTTTTTATTTTCTTAAATGCTTTTTGCAATAAATTATCTTAAATTTCTAAACAAAAAGTTGTTTGGAGTCAAAAAATGGAACACTTCACTTAGAAAATGTCAAAAAGGGGACATTTTGGCAATTTTGAAACTTTTATTTTTAAATTTTTTTCAAAACAGGAAATTCATTGAAACTAACCCTTTTCTGAGAAAAGTTTTGGTTTTGATGAATTTGTATTTTCCAATGAAACAATATTTAGTTGACAAATTCCCACCTATCTCTGATTACAGTCTAAATAAACAAGTCAGACAATGGGTTAAAGGGGAAACAGAGGCAGCAAGTAGTGAAAAGACTTGCCCAAGGTCACACAGAGGTCAGTGATAGTAATGGAAAGAAAGCCCAGGTCTTCGGATTCCAAGTACAGCACCCTAATTATGTGGCTATATTTTTTTAAGTTATGCAGGGCGCTTTAGTTTCATGGGCCCTCTGTTTTGGAAGAAGACTAGTGAAGACAGAACTAACACATAGAGCTTTCAAAATATCACCCTAGAGTGGCAAAATAGAATACTTTTTATTAATAAGTGTATAGTCCAAACTCTGCAGGACGCAGTGGGCCTGATCCTCTATTGTCCCACACTTTGTGAATTCATTTATACCAATAATAGTGGGCAAAAAATACTACCAGCTCAGAAAGATAGTTTCTGAAACACACTCTTCACAAGGTAAGCAACTCCACAAGGAAAATCAGGGCCAGCCATTTAACCTAGAGAAGGAGGCTCTCTGGAGAAACGGTAAAGCACACCCTGAAACGGGGGGATGGAGGGGAAGGGGGAAGACAACTGAGCTTTTGCAAACCTGAAAAAAAAAAAGTGTGTGGTTCAAATTCAAATGGGGGGGAGGGTAGCATTTTTCTTATGTTTATCTGAATCGATTCCCTCTGTCCATAATCTCAATGCATCAAATAATTTAATTTCTACTCTTTCTCAAAAACTCATTTCCCACATGTAGCAATCTTATGGAATCTGTCACCTGCATTCTCAGGAGGAAAAACTAAACAAGCTGTGGAGAAGGAATGGTGTTACTAAATCCAAGCTAAACTCAAATCCGCTTAAGAACATATGAACACGTTGTTGGGCAAAAGGCTATAATGCTGTTAGAGTAATTATCAGCCTTTTAAAGTAAGGAGCTGTAGTGCAGGGTTATTCTGAAGTGATACTGCTCCAGAGGAATCTGCATTTTACATATTTAACTGAAGAGCGCTGAGCTATTTAACATATCGTTGCTGTACTTTTTGACATCAAAAGAATTGTATTTCCATACTTGGGTGAATTAATAGGATTTGCATGTCACCCTCATTCTGTACTTTCTTTGCTCAGTTATACTGTAGAAGTTTGAAAGGGGCAAAACAAGTAAAGAGATGTGTAAGGGTACATGCAAGCAGGCAAGTTTCAGCGTGCATAAAATGGATCTCCAAGCTCACTGTAAAGGAGCCAAGTTCTTGTGATGAAAGGGGGAGACACTACTGACTTCTCCATCTGTTATTTGGTTACGGCCTGAAGAGTGTGGATGCCCTTGGAATGCCACTGCCTAGGACAGGACAGGCTGTCAACCCTAGTCTCACATTATCGAGCAGTTACCCAGTTAGTCCCATCAACTCCACGTTGGGTGCTGAGCATGATGGAAAATCCAGACCAGTTGTAGGTGCTGAGCATTTGCAAACCTGGCCCTGCATGAGTTGCCCCTCTCTTTTTAGTGCCTTAACTACAAAACCATCCTTTCTCTCTTCTTGCACTATATAGCTCCTTTCTGCCCAGCTAGCCATCAAGTATCAGGTTAGCGCGAGAGCCATTTCTACTTTGGACTTCCGAGGGGGTTATGCTTCACTTGACGGAATCTACTGTTGTTGCTTTTCCGCCACACTGGCCTCTCTAGCACCGTCCTTTCCAGTTACAGGAAAACAACAAGTTGGCTCTCAGGCAGCCTCAAAAACCCAGGAACTTTCAGCAGATCTTCACAATGATGGGAAAGCGGAGATGATATTTAATGGCTGAATGCTTTCCTCTAGTCTTTATTCTCATTTGCTTGCTTTGCTTTTCCCAGCCCTCTGCCTGACTAAACAATATCATGTCTCTTTTCCTCCTTCCCTACATTTAATGACCAGCTGAATCTGACCAAAGACATTCTCCTGCTGAAAAATTAGACCTGAGAGTTGATCATTCCAGGACTGACTTGGGATCTGAAGCCTGAGTGAAATTTTATCCTTTAAGACAGGTCATGCTAGATCTCAAGTTACTTTTACACTTGACACTAGCAATCCTTAATTACAGTCAGGCTGACTGACATATCAGTGACTAGCAGCAATATAATACTTTCCCTAACACTGGAGCCTTCTCAGGAAAGCATAACTGGACTTGACACTCTTTTTTTTCGGACTGCTTATCCCTTCAAGAGGTTTGCTGTGTATTTATTCAATTTCTTTAAAACTGCCACCCAAGCAGTATCTTGTTACACCTGAATCCAAGGCAAGTCACGTGTAACTTGCCTGCAGCACCGAAGGTCGAGCGGGATGGGAGGTGGCACAGTTAAGAAAGAAGGGCAGCCAGTTCGGGAGATGCAGGCTTATTATGAATTGAGCTGCTGTCTTGCTGACAAAATGTTGGCTTAACTGCCCCACACTTTCCATCATCTGTGTCACTACCATCAGTATCACTCACTTCTGTCAGCAATCTAACATGAGTATGTTATGGGGGCGGGGAACTGACATGTTCTCTCTGCTCTCCTTATATTTTCAATCCCATCTACCATGTTAAACACACTCTTAAAGATACAAATGTTATACAGAGCCATTGCCAACAATTTTTGCAGGTTCAAAACTTTACCTCTTTTGTAAGGGTCCTAATCTGATGTGGCTTGCAGACATCTGGACCACATAGGGTCTATGATTGTGGCAACACGTGTAGCATTAGTTGTACACCTAAATCTCTTTGCAGAAAACATACCACTGGCATGATACATAGCCCACTGAAGTCAATAGACTGACTCCCATTGACTTCACTTTGCAATCCAGCCCAATTGAATTTCCATGCTGGTGCCAGACAGACATCCCTGGAGAATGAAGTGTTCTGTTTATCCCCACATCAGTTATACTAGGGTAGTGGTTGTGCAAATTTCCCCCCACACTTCAGCTCACCAATGCATCTTAAGCCGGACCTGGAGGTACCTTCCCCCACTCCCCCTGTCCCTCCCTCCCATGGATGAGCAAGAAGTTTGAGTCTTCATGGGCCATCCAGTTTTTGGCACTACTATTGTGATTTCCAACAAAGGGTCCAATTGGTGTCAAAGGTAATGATGGTTTGAATTAATACATTTCCCTTCACAGGAAGAACTTGCTCCTGATCTAAATCATGCTAAAAAAAGTGTCAAACTAACCCTAAATATCTTTTACAGCAAGTAAGGATTCTTAAAAAAAAAAAAAACTACTAATGAAAACACTATAAAATAACTCTCGAGCTAACTCTTATTTATATAGCGTAGAGCAGCGGTTTTCAAACTGTGGGTCGGGATAACCTCTTTTAATGGGGTCGCCAAGGCTGGCATTAGCCTTGCTGGGGCCTGCAGCTGAAGCGAAGCTCGAGCATCACTGCTCGGGCCAGAAGTTGAAGTCCAAGGGCTTCAGCCCTGGGTGGCAGGGATCAGATTACAGGTCCCTGCCTGGGGCTGAAGCCCTTGGGATTTGGATTTGGCCCTCCCCGCCTGGAGCAATGGGGCTCAGGCTTTGGGCTCACCCCCACCCAGGGCAGTGGGGCTTGGGCAAGCTCAGGCTTCGGTTCCTCCTCCTGGGGTCATGTAGTAATTTTGTTGTCAGAAGGGGGTTGCGGTGCAATGACGTTTGAGAACCCCGGGCGTAGAGAATGAAAGTGCTGATAATGGTGTGCGCTGAATGAGATGTCTCTTGGAACTTATGGTTCTCCGGATTCCCATAACCTGTGGAACTCAATGCCACAAGATATCATTGAGGCCAAGAGCAGGATTCAAAAAAGGAGTAAACATTTCTCTGGATAACAGGAATATCTAGAGCTATAAAATGTAAAGGATTAAAAATATACAAGAGTTTTGGAAGAGCTATAAGCCTTCCTGCATTAGGGCATAAGCCAAGCTCTAACTAATCCAATCACTGCCTACTGCAGGGTTTCTTGCACCTTGGTCTGAAGCAGCTGGTATTGGCTGTTTTTGGAGGCAGGATGGGAGACTTAGTGGATTTATCCCATATGGCAATTGCTATGTTCCTTGATCGGTTGTCCCTGTCCTAGCGAGTAGTTGTTTATGAGGCAACCAGTTACAGGAGTCAGTGATGTACTTACAGTGGACAAGAGAGAATCCAAAAAGCTATCTGAGAAGATAGCTCCACCGGAAAAGGTGGTGGTGAGATCCAGCTCCTGTCCTGGGATCTGAGAGGCACTGCTAATGTGGTGATCAATGAACTGGACATTCGATGTAGCATCTGTAGAATCAATCAATCAGTCAATAAATAAATAAAAGAAGGAACACTAAAGATTTTAAAAACACTGTAGTTACCATACAGGATGAGAACAGAACAATGATTCATCTAACCCAGCTCATTATCCTGTCTCCTGCACTAGCCAAAACCCTTTTGCTTTAGAGGAAGAAGAGAAAAAAAGTGTTTAATGAACCTGACCAGTTGTGCACTGGGGCAAAAGCTTATCACACCAAGAACCCAGACCTTAGTGACATGGGGTAAAAGTTTCCAAAGCACCCAAATGACTTAGGAACTAAGGTCTCATTTTCAAAAATGACCTACGTCTTAGGTTCCTAAGTTCCCAAGTCACTTTTTGAAAAAGGGACTTTAGCTTCCCAGTCACTTAAATGTTTTGGAAACTTTTACCCATAATGCCTCAGTATCATGTAGCAGTGAGTTCCACTGGTTAATTATACAATCATAAAAAGAAAAAAAATTGCTGTGTGTTTAAATGTGTCTAGTTAATTTTTTGAAACTCCCGCTCCACCAGCTCTTATGTTATTGGACATGGTGGGATGTTAGGCCGTCTGTCAGTCTTGCCCATATTTAAGAGCCAACAGATAGTTCTTGAAGAAATCCTCATAATAAAAAATGGCATTGCTTTAACTTTCTTTTTTATTTTTAATTGACTGTGTAAAACCATCCAGGCAGAAGGCACCTGCTGTGCTGCTGAATGCACTAGGTATATGCTAGTATTCCAGTGATGCCAGTGAGAATGTTGATGAATGACAGCAACACAGCTGGAGTGGGACAGAATGAGCAAAGGAATGAAGACCAAGAACCCATTTTTTCCATTAAAAATAAAACCTTAACAAGTAACCTTTCTGTGATTACTGATTAATGTATTTTGTGGCCTGCAGAGCTAGGAGGCATTTGAACAGATACTTAAAGCAGATGACTAAAATTGGCCAGTTTCACATTGCTGTTGAAAGACTTCTGATACCTGGTGACTCTGCTGTATGATAACGCCAGTGTATTCTGTACACAGAAATTTAACCAAACCTAGATTTTGGGAATCAGACCCTCAACTGGTATAAATCAGCATTGCTCCATTGATGGGCCCTTAAGAATCTGGGTATAAAAACCATGGACACACTAGCATAGATTGAAACAACCTGTTTTGTTTTTTCTTTCCCATTTAGGGGGGTTGTTATTGTTTCTATGTTTTTTGTTTCACTTATTGGCCTCTTGTGCTAGGGGTGTCTAGCTGCCGTAACTTCAGAGGAATGTCCAGTCATCCTGCGTTTGAGGGAGTAGCTGAGCAAATCAGAAGTTTGTTGCGTTGGAAATCTAAGCTCTGTCAGCCAGTTCCTGGGGCTGAACGAAAGCCCATGGCACTCAGTGAGACATTCTATTGACTTCAATGGGCTTTCGATCAGCCTGATGGGAGGTGGCTGGTTTGGCTAGTTCCCTTCCTTGAATACTCCTCCTCATGTCCCCATAAGTCAGGGAAAAGCAGCAGCCAATCAGAGTATAAGGGCAGTAACACAACTCTCCAGATGTGGGAATGATCCTCCAACAGCTATATCCATGTCTATTTCCTTCGTGGGTACTCAAGATCTATGCTGGCGCTGCAAAGCCCGTGGTTTGGTCTAACATGCCTCATGGCTCAGCAAGTGCCAGGAGAGGGCAAGCTTAGTACTTCACAGGGATATCATCATGATCTCACAGTAATTACAGCAGAGGCCAGCCAAGCTTGGCAATGCTGAATCAATTGAGATATCATATTGCTGATGAGAACCCTGAGGAAACGGCTTGGCTACTTTTAATACAATGGGTCTGAGTTCCTGGAGAGCATTTTTCAATGTAGAAATTGGGTCTGCTGATGTCTTCTTATGCCTGTGTGGGAGCTGGGAATCTAATGGGCTTCATTTGGCAGGTGGCGACTGAAGAGCACCTAGGAATGTACTATTTACCAGTTATATTGTGGCAGCTCCTAGAGGCCATCACAGTCAGGACTCCATTGTGCTAAGTGTTGTACAGACATAGAGCAAAGGCCAAGCCTTGCCCAAAAGAGATGGCAATCTAAAAAAAAGAGGATGAAATCCCATCCCCATGGAGATTAATGTCAAAACTCCCATTGACTTCAGTTGGCCCAGGATTTCACCCAAAGATACTAAGGGTCTAAGATATTAAGGGATACTAAGATGCTTCTTTTGGCAGGTTTTGAGAGGTGTGTGACCGGTATCCAGATGATGCCTTTGGTAGATGGCAACATTGGTAATGGATGTCCTATTGTTGACACTGGTATGTCGTACCCAGCAGTGACCAGAGGTTAGCCACAGACCTGATCCAAAAAAGCACTTATGCATATGGCTAACTTTAAGCACACAAGTAATTCCTCCATTGGCTTGGAACTAGTCACGTGCTTAAAGATAGGCACAGGCATAAGTGCGTCACTGGACTGAGGGCTATATGACGGACTTTTTGTAAGACAGCTGTTTTTGTGCTTTCAGGTCTTAAACTCTTGGGGGCATTTGCCTTCCTACCTTACCCCTGAGTCTGCAGATTCCCAATCTGTTCTAGGCCACAGTGGGGGCAGAGAAGCATGTGCTAAGGGCCTGGCCCCAATTCGTTATTGTGTCAAAGATCTAACATGACTACAGTGCAAAGCCATGTCAACTGATTGCAGGTGTTTTCCCCTCCACTGCCACATGGAATCCTGGAGGGAATCGTGCACTTGGTCCATTGCCTGTCTCAAGCCATCAGCTTGACAACATATTCTCTCCTCAGTGGGGCTGGATCATAGCAGCCTGCTCAATACATTCTGAGATGCTGAGAGACCAGAGACATAAAAACACAAATCACAGCACAAGTGAATATCAAAGCATGACTATGGGAAATTCAAGTGTCAGAGTGGTCCATAGGTCTCAGATGCTGGTAGGACAGGTGTTATTATTTGATTATTATTTCTATTGCAATATTGGCTAGAAATCCCAGTCATGGATAGTACCCCATGGTGCTAGGTGCTGTACAAAAAGATGGTCAATGCCCTGAAGATCTTACAATCTAAGTGAGGCATCATGCCCTAAACCTAAGCTTTATAATCACTTCCAAACTAGCAGTACCAAGACAGGGGACAGAACACTGATCAGATCAGGCTGGAACCCTCAGAGCTCAACCTTCTTTCATGATTTCTGCTGCTTCCTGGCACTTATGGGAAGTTAAGCTGCGATAAGGCAGCATCAGGTCAATAGGTAAGATGTTTTGAGGATGTAAATAAGGATAGTCTTGTGGCTAAGGCACTGGATTGGGACTCAGGAGAGCTGGGGTCAATTTCTGGTTCTGCCCCAGACTCCCTATATGACCTTAAGCAAGTCATGAGATCTCTCTATACCTCAGATCTCCTTCTGTACAAAAGAACGGCCATGCTGGGCCAGACCAATGGTCCATCTAGTTCAGTATCCTGTCTTCCAACAGTATCTAATGCCAGATGCTTCAAAGGAAATGAACAGAACTGGGAAATTGTCAAGAGGTCCATCCCCTGTCATCCAGTCCCAGCATCTGGCAATCAGAGGCTTAGGGACATCCAGATCATGGGGTTGCATCCCTGACCATCTTGGCTCATAGCCATTGATGGAACTATCCTCCAGGAACTTAACTCATACTTTTTTGAATGCAGTTATACTTTTGGCCTTCACAACATCCCCTGGCAATGAATTCCAAAGGTTGACTCTGCATTGTACTTAGAATCATAGAATATCAGGGTTGGAAGGGATCTCAAGAGGTCATCTGGTCCAACCCCCTGCTCAAAGCAGGACCAATCCCCAGCTAAACTATCCCAGCCAGGGCTTTGTCAAGCCTGACCTTAAAAACTTCTAAGGAAAGAGATTCCACCACCTCCCTAGGTAACCCATTCCACTGCTTCACCACCCTCCTAGTGAAAAAGTTTTCCCTAATATCCAACCTAAACCTTCCCCACTGCAACTTGAGACCATTACTCCTTGTTCTGTCATCTGGTACCACTGAGAATAGTCTAGATCCATCCTCTTTGGAACCCCCCTTCAGGTAGTTGAAAGCAGCTATCAAATCCCCCCCTCATTCTTTTCTTCTGCAGACTAAATAATCCCAGTTCTCTCAGCCTCTCCTCAAAAATCATGTGCTCCAGCCCCCTAATCATTTTTGTTGCCCTCCGCTGGACTCTTTCCAATTTTTCCACATCCCAAAACTGAACACAGTACTCCAGATGAGGCTTCACCAATGCTGAATAGAGGGGAATGATCACATCCCTCGATCTACTGGTAATGCTCCTACTTATACAGCCCAAAATGCCATTAGCCTTCTTGGCAACAAGGGCACACTGTTGATTCATATCCAGCTTCTCATCCACTGTAACCCCTAGGTCCTTTTCTGCAGAACTGCTGCCTAGCCACTTATCCCCTAGTCTGTAGCAGTGCATGGGATTCTTCTGTCCTAAGTGCAGGACTCTGCACTTGTCCTTGTTGAACTTCATCAGATTTCTTTTGGCCCAATCCTCTAATTTGTCTAGGTCTTTCTGTATCCTATCCCTACCTTCCAGCATATCTACCACTCCTCCCAGTTTAGTGTCATCTGCAAACTTGCTGAGGGTGTAATCCATGTCTCCTCCAGATCTGGGGGGAGGGATAGCTCAGTGGTTTGAGCATTGGCCTGCTAAACCCAGCGTTGTGAGCTCAATCCTTGAGGGGGCCACTTGGGGAGCTGGGGCAAAAATCAGTACTTGGTCCTGCTAGTGAAGGCAGGGGGCTGGACTTGATGACCTTTCAAGGTCCCTTCCAGTTCTAGGAGATGGGTATGTCTCCATTAAAAAAAAAATTAATGAAGATATTGAACAAAACTGGCCCCAGGACCGACCCTTGGGGCACTCCACTTGATACCAGCTACCAACTAGACATGGCGCCATTGATCACTTCCTGTTGAGCCCAATGATCTAGCCAGCTTTCTATCCAGAGTATAGTCCATTCATCCAGTCCATATCTCTAACTTTCCGGCAAGAATACTGTGGGAGACCGTATTAAAAGCTCTGCTAAAGTCAAGGAATAAACGTCCACTGCTTTCCCTTCATCCACAGAGCCTGTTATCTTAACCTTTTGCTGGTTTTAAACCTGCTGCCTATTAATTTCATTGGTGACCCTTGGTTTGTGTGTTATTTGAAGGGTTAAATAGCACTTCTTTATGCACTTTTTCTCCACACCAGTCATGATTTTATAGACCTCTATCATATCTCCCCTTAGTTGTCTCTTTTCCAAGCTGAATAGTCCCAGTCTTTTTAATCTCTCCTCATATGGAAGCTGTTCCATCCCCTTAATCATTTTTGTTGCCTTTCTCTGTACCTTTTCCAATTCTAATATATCTTTTCTAAGATGGGGTGACCAGAACTGCATGCAGTATTCCAGGTGTGGAGGTACCATGAATTGATATAGTGGCATTATGATATTTACTGTCTTATTATCTATCCCTTTCCTAATGGCTCCCAACATTGTTAGCTTTTTTGACTGCTGCTGCACATTGAGTGGATGTTTTCAGAGAACTATCCACAATGACGCCAGAATCTTTTTCTTGAGTGGTAACGGCTAATTTAGATTCCATCATTTTGTATGCATAGTTGGGATTATGTTTTCCAATACGCATTACTTTGCATTTATCAACACTGAATTCCATCTGCCATTTTGTTGCCCAGTCATCCAGTTCTGTGAGATCCCTTTAACTCTTCGCAGTCAGCTTTGGATTGAGTAATTTGTATCATCTGCAAACTTTGCCACCTTACTTTTTACCCCTTTTTCCAAATAAGTTATGAGTATGTTGAACAGCACTGGTCCCACAGATCCCAAGGGATACCACTATTTACACCTCTCCATTCTGAAAACTGACCATTTATTCCTGCCCTTTGTTTCCTGTCTTTCAACCAGTTCCTGATCCATGAGAGAACCTTCCCTCTTATCCCTTGACTCCTTACTTTGCTTAGGAGCCTTTGGTGAGGGACTTTGTGATAGGCTTTCTGAAAGTCCAAGTACTCTATATCCACTGGATCACCCTTGTCCACATGTTTATGGACCCCATCAAAGAATTCTAATAGATTGGCGAGGCATGATTTCCCTTTATAAAAGCCATGTTGACTCTTCTCCAACAAATTGTGTTCATCCATGTGTCTGATCATTCTGTTCTTTACTATAGTTTCAACCAATTTGCCTGGAACTGAAGTTAGGGTTATTGGCCTGTAATTGCCAGGATCACCTCTGGAGTCTTTTTTAAAAGTAGCGTCACATTAGCGATCCTCCAGGTCATCTGGTACAGAAGCTGATTTAAGTGATAGGTTACATACCACAGTTAGCAGTTCTACAATTTCGTATTTTCAGAACTCTTAAGTGAATACCATCTGGCCCTGATGACTGGATTATAGTTTAAATTTACCAATTTGTTCCAACACCTCCTCTATTGACACCTCAATCTGGGACAGTTTCTCAGATTTGTCACCTAAAAGAAATGGCTCAGGTGAGGGAATCTCCCTCACATCCTCTGCAGTGAAGACTTTTGCAAAGAATTCATTTACTCATTTATTCATTCATTTACCTCTGTAAGATGAGGTAGCCATACATCCCTACATCTTGGGGTGTTGTGAGGGTAAATTAATTAAATTAATGGATGTGAGCTGATAATATACTATAGGGATGGAGACCTATATGGGTAGAATGTACAGTCACTGGACCTTGGGCAGCTTTGGGGAGGATCGGGTTTCTGTGGAGAGCTACGTTTTTCTCTCTCTCCAACTGGTGCAGTTTCAATTAGCTCAGCCAAATAGAATCCCCTAATAGAAATTTTGTTATTTTTCTAATATGTCTCCGGATTCTTCATTAACAGTTACTCCAAGTGTAATGACTACCAGGTCACAAGCAGCACCACCACAGCCATCCTTGGAGCTTTTCCGTACTTTTACTTCCTGCCCCAGCTGGAACTGGGAAGCACAGGGGAGCATGGAAATAGGAGAAACAATAAATAAAAAATAAATAAATAAGACAAAACAACATTATTGTCAAACCTCAGACAAACAAGTAAACCTCCTATTCAAACCATCTCAGCCATTCCTACCGCCGCCTCAGGGGATCCAGCTTTGAAAGGATTACCATAAGCAGTGCTGCGATGATCCTGAGAGATAGTTACAGATGGACAAGAAGGAAGGGTAGGTCATTGGTTCTGGCTCAGTTATGAATGGAGGGTGGTTCTGGAATTGACAGAACTGTCACTGAGTTGTTCAGTGCACCTGGCACTTTTAAGGATCGTGTCAAACAAAATAGTGGCTGAGGGAGTCAGGGCCCAGTCAGAACGCCTAGCGACACACTATGCTAATTTGATGAGTACTGCCTTGTGTCAGCACTCTAAATGGAACTAAACATCCGCATCCCTGGAGACTAGCAGCCCAGCCATACCACTCTGGTGTCACACTGCCTGCTATGTTACTAGTAATCAGTTAATCATTGCACATGTTTCTAATTAATGGATTTAGTATGTAATCACCAGGGAATGAAGATGAAACTGCCAAGAGTAGCATAAAAAAGCATTGTGGGTTGTCTCTGTTATAAATGAAATCCAGAGTGGCTGAACAATATGGGATGTGAAGGACAGACGTATTCACTGGGTCTGATACTAAAATGCGCTGAGCTCTCGAGTTGTCTCCAGACTAATATGGACCCCATCACAGCAGTGTCTGAATCCTTCACAGTCATTCTGAATGATCTTCACAGAACATCCCTGTGAGGCAGGCAGTACTTAGATTGCATGCATGCTCTTTGGTACAGGGATTGTCTTTCTGGACAGAGGGCTGAGGCCTCTAGGTGACAGTGTAGTACAAATTAGATGAAAGAGGGAAGTGTTACTAGCCCTAATTTTACAGATGGGGAACTGAGGCACAGAGAGATTAAGGGACTTGCCCAGGTCCCAGAGGGAGTCTGCAGTAGAACCAGTAACTGAACCCACATCTCCTGAGGTCTAGGTCAGTTGCATAGCCACCAGGGTATCCTTTCTCTCGGCAATAGACTCACTACACACTGGGGATTTTGTAATACTCTGTTATAGGTTTTTTTCCCCTGACTTCTTCAAAGCCACCAAATTAACATTGAAGTCAACCCTTTTAATGCTCCTTGGACATGCAGTGCTTGTTGTTTTTTGTCTGTGAATTTTAAAGAGGGCCTGGGGTAAATAAATAATGCAGTACGCATATCGCTAGTGTGAAATATGTTCCCAAAGAATAACTTACTCAGCTCTGTGATGACGGGGATCCTTTTATAACTTGGCTCTGATTCATTCTCCGGTGTTCTCACTCTGCCAACTGCCTCTGCAGAAACAGTCAACAACAACACGGGGAGAGACCAGAGAGGTAAAGGCAGGAAGACAATGGTTCAGAGACTGACACATGCAGAAAGGCACTTACCTAGGCCTAAAAAAATGTCATTGTAATGTAAAAATCCCAAAGCACTTCCTATAAATAGAAAATTTCTTGCCTTGGTTTGCTTTTCCATGCTGCATTTTATTCACTCAGAATTTCAAAGGATTAAAAAAGAAAAGCTCTCCTGGGAGCCACTTATTGACATCATAACTAAAATATAATTACCCTCTGAGGAGCAGCGGGGCTGGTAATAGTGTTGTTAGGCACAAAGCCCCTAGTGAGCCAATTTGCACTCCGAGGGTTTTTTTTCCCTTGAAGGAGGCTGTAAAGAAATGGGATAGGACATGTGCAGCAAAAGTGAAAAGGGGGAAAGCAAAATGGCCTGCGTTTTGGAACTCAAGACATAAGCCAGTGGTTTAAGCAGGACATGTGAAGGCCTCCTGGAAAACATTAGTTCTGATTCTCCTCTTATTTTACACTAAGCGGATGCCTTCAAGGAATTAGTTCTGATTTACATTGGTGGAAGTGAGAGGAAAACCAGGCCCATTTTATTTAAGGACAGTTTTCAGATACTGTGCTAGATTGTCTGCTTTCCCCATCTCTTGTTTGGATAGGATCTGATTCTGCCTCCCTTACTTATGTTCTATCAATCAACATCTAAGTGCTTATATTAGTGCCCATCACTGTAATATCTGAGTAGGTGACTATTAATTGGACTACTCATTGAGTAAGGCATTATTCCAAGTAAAGATGGCAGAATCCAAACTGTACTAGGGACTCTGACTAAAAGCAGGGTCTCGTCTCAGTCAGAGACAGGATATTGGATAGTGAATCATCTCTCTTACAAATCCTATATAAAGTGGCTGAACAAACAGGGATAACAGAAGTATTATCTGGGTCTGGAAGTAAAACGCATTGAACCTTCTCTCTGTCTAGACACTGATATGGTCCTAGATGGGCCACTGGTCTAATCTATCCTGACAATTCCTAAATTCAGGTGACAGAACTGCCCAAAAACATTTGAAATGTGGGGCAGAGAAGCAGCACAAAAAGCACCTCCTGGGCATGCACTGGCATTTCTGAACATCTGCTGGTGACATCAGCTAAATGCCTGAAAATGATTATTGCCTTTATTCTATCTTTCCACATAGTGTGGTAGCTGATTTGAATGTATGTCAGATCATTGCCTGGATACATTTTCCTTATGTCAATATTTTTGCTACCAAACAGTACACAGCACTGTACCTGAAATCTCACAAACTGGCAGGGTGCTATTACAAAAGATTACTTAATTGTAGATTACTACTGTACATTTGAATTTCAATAGCATATTAAGTTGTCAGACTTAATTACTGTTATATATTTAGACTATGCCACAGATTATTTAGTTCAGTACCTAGGTTTGCCAACCTGTTCACTTTGTGACATGACAGGGTGATAATTACAGCATTACTGGAAAACCTAAAAGTTTCCATGGGAAAGACTAGGAGTCCTTGGCATACAAGCTGACCCTAATAAATGGTCATTCCTGTGGGTGTAAATAATGTTGACCTCCATGGGGGTCTGGCTCACTACGAGCTCTTCAGTTGTATATTCCTGGGGACAGGTAATGTGTGGAAGAGATGTGGTGGGCTCAGATGGAGCTCTCTGAAATGTTTATGATGAAATCCAAAGCCACAAGACGCATGACTGGTTTAGGCTTTGTTACAAACTCCAGACTCGGATCATATAGCTGCAATGTTGACGTACGAGGCAATGTTCACTTAAACTTTTGAGGAACCTAGGACTTCTGCCTCAAAATCATGACAAACGTCCAACTTTTGCAAGGTTCTGGCTTTGAAATGGGGTGGTTTTATTTACAGCTGCAAAGTTTAGCATGATGGAGAATCAGGATCAGTAAGGTGACTGGATGTCCAGCCAAGTAATTGAATAGTCCATCAGCAACTGATAAATATTGCACAGAAAAGTCCAGCTTTTAACTGTCTTTTTTAAAACCAAGTTTGCTGCTTCATAACATACATAAACAGGTATTTTAAATCGGTCCCTTCTGTACTTGCTAGCTCCTCAGATTATGATGATGTTAAAGAGAGATCTTCATAATCTATGCTCTCTCCTCCTATTTCCCAGACCAATAGTTACTGTCAGCCAATGCTTTTCTACTCTTGGTCCCCAAGATCAATCTGGGTCATACCAGGGACAGGTCTTCATCAGTCATTGGTTCTCTGGTATGAACCCCACCTCCCCTAAAAAAGGGATCCTGCATTCATGGGTGTGCTACAATCCCACTTATTTCAGATGGACTAATTTGGACTATTTATTGGTTCCCCTGCACTTACTTTAGTTCTGCTTCTCTATTTATCTTCTACATGTCTCCTCCCTGACCCCAATTCTGTGAACGGTTAGGCTCTGTCTACACTGTGTTGTTGTTTTTTTTTTTAATTTTGTCTTGCAACTGTCAAGCTATGCCAGTGAAACTCCCAGTCTAGATGTGCTGCACTGGTATAAAATGGAGCTTGTACAAGCTAGTGCAATTTATCCCAGTGAGTTACCATGGTGGGTTGCAACAGTAGAAGCCCTGATTTGCTTCTACTGGGGAACAGGTCTACATTACTATTTTCATCTCAAGCTTTCAAAATATAACTATAGGTATCTATCCTGTGCTGTGGGCACCTACTCCACACATTAAAATCACTGAATAAGAAAATGGCTGCCTATAAATACATCCACTCCTTCCTCCAAAGCCTTAAACAAAAAAAAAAAACAAAAAAAAGGAACTGTATTAGGGGTTTGTAGGAGTGCAGCTATAGTGTTGTATATAGACTGGTGCAAATTTCCCTAGTCTAGGTCAAGCACTATTTAACTTTAAGAACATAGTGGTCCCAAGAAAGTCAATGGGACTATTTGCATCTTAAACTTAAACATGCATCTAAGTGTTTGCAAGATCAGGGATCTTTTGAGATAGAGCCCCTGAATGAATGGTTTTACCAGCCTCACATTAGCGGAGTTTGGCAAACTGTTTAGACATCCTCTATCTCTGGAGACTTTCTTCTCTCCCCCACTCCCTTCTAGTTCTTTTACTTGGCTTAAATCAAGTAAACAAGTTTATCTCTTTTCCCCCTCACCCCCCACCAAAATGGAGACATAGAATAGAAAACCCCCTTCCTCATTTATATTTGGATCACTAGCTGACCTCATCAGGTTCCTTAGTTGCTAGCATTATTCAGCTGTTTCACCTGGAAGTATTCCCCCTCAATTAATGCCACCTGAGTTAACCTCAGCAGCAGGGATCTACCTGCTAGAATTTTATTGCAGAAGATTTTTTAAGCCCTTCAGCACCACACACAGTGGCCCTGCTGTAACAATGCTTGTAGAGAAAGAAAAGATCAACCCTAGTTTGCATTTGAGGCCAGATTTTCAAAAGTATATAGATATCTAAATATGCAAATAGGCACCTACTGGGAATTTCAAAAGTGGCTAAGCAAGTTAGCCACCTAGGGTAGGATCCATGAAAGGACTGAGGCATTGCAATGCTGAATGTTATAACACCTAACTTTTAAGTGCCTAGAAAGTCACAGGAACAACACTGTGATCCATAAAGCCAGGTTAGGCATCTAGATTCCTTACTAACAATACACGGGGAAAGAGAGGTACCTCAGAATGTGAGCCACAAAAGCCAACATGTGAGGCAGACCGCTGCCTAAGCTAGCAGATGGGGGAGAGGGGAAGAGGTGCTAAGCCCTGCTCCTCCCATGGAACAATCAGAGAGAAAGAGGGAATGACCCTATAGTATTGTGGTTAGGGATCCACCTGGAAGACGGGAGAGGACCTGTCTCCCTACTCCAATCACTTGTTGTTTATCCACAGTGGAACAGCTTCAGCAGGAGACATTGAAGGAGCCCCACATCAGAATATCCCACAGCTCAGTGGTTAGACCCAGCTCCTGAGAGGTGGGACACCCTCTATTCAAATCCTTTCTCCCTGCTGACAGATGAGGGAATTAAACCTGGGTCTCCCACATAAGTTAAAAGTTATAAAGTGGGTACCACTACCTCCTCCTCCAGCTGGCTTTTGAATGGGACCCAATCCAGTAGATGTGCTAAGAGGCAGCCTACTGGATTGTGCTCTGCACATGACTTAGGCAGCTGGATGCCTATCTTCCCCCAGTTCCGGAGTCACTCTGAGGTTTTGGTGGGAGGTAGGTGGCAGAGCACCGACAGTGGAGAAGCAGTGAGTGAATGCCAGGGTCTAAAGCTTAGGCACTTAGGGAATTTTTACAGAGGAAAGCTAGGCACTGAGTGAATTTAGGTGCCTACAAAGTTAGGTGGCAGCCAAGCAGGAGATTTGGTGCCACACCTGGGGATTTAGAAGTAACGCGTAGGTACCTTAGTTACTTCATGGATTGAACCCTGACTTCCATTGAAATCAATGGGAGCTGGACACCTAACCTACTTAGCAGGTTTTTAAAGTCCTAGTACGCACCTATCTGGGCCTGAGACCCTTGAAAATGTGGGCCCTTAAACTCTTCAGACAGCCTAAGGGCAGCTTTCGAGTACAGGACTGTCTGATCCAGCAAGGCTCGGAATTTTCATTTTTATATGTGAGGTTATTAAAAAGAAATAGTCATTCAAAAAAGTAACATCTTTTTACTGTGTCTCCTGCCTTTAACCACCGATGCCTTTACTGACCACTATTTTGGTTTTAGAGGTGGACTACTACAAAATAATTCAGAGGAAAAAGTGAATCAAGCGGTTATAGCAGTGGGAGCTGGGACACCTGGGTTCTACTCCAACCTCTCTCCACCTTAGTTCAGAACCTGCTGGCTAACCATATAACCTCTCTGTGACTTGATTTACCCATTTGCAAATGGGGTGTAATAATAATTTACTTCTTCCTAGGGGGTGAATGTCTATAAGCCGGTTTTGAGATCTTCATATGAAAAGCCCGATAGTAGTGTAAAATATGGCCTCAATCTTTTGTTGGATCAGCAGGGACTTCCTATAGGTGGACCCAGCTGCAGGATCTGGGCCTATAATTAAAAATAATTACAGCAGCAAAGAAGAAAGTGGGCTGGCTATTTTAACAACACATCTAACGAACCTTGAAAGAGGAAAGAGCTAATTTATACTCAGAAGGTGAATCACTAAACAGATTTAATGGCTGGCTCGGGAAAAAGGGTTTTTATTTATTGATGATAATGTCCTTTAAGTGAATACTACTTTTCTGTCCGCAGAAAACAGTGTAAATCTGAGAAATGGCCTTAACTGAGTAGCCAAGGATTTATGAAATTGGGATTGTAGTCACTTTAGGGATCCAGAACTCACTAAAAAGTGAGTTAGGAGAGAGGCACCTTATAAATACCTGAGTGAAAAACCTAGAATAGATAGAAAGGGATCATGTTGAGGAACTCTGTCTTCTGTCAGAAGATATCAAAGCTGTTTGAGTCAGTGGTTACAGAATCTCTTTCCTTTTATTCAAATTATTCTTTTAGAAAGAACTGATCACAGTAATGAGTAATAAAAACAAGAATAATTTGCATTTCCACATTGCCCCTTGGCCAAAGATCTCAATGCATGTTGCAAACTGTAATTAATTTGGCTTCACAACAATCCTATAACTATGATTACAGAGATGAACAATTGCGGTACAGTATGGCTAGGTAGTTGCCCAAGGACACACAGCAAGTCAGTGGTAAGGATAAGAATGGACCTGATGCCAGGATTCTTGCTCTACCCGCTAGATACCACTCCTTCCCAAACCCATAAATAGAACCCAGGAGCCCTGACTCTCAGTTGCTCTAACCACTAGCCCACACTCTATCCATGAGTCAGGAAGAGAACCCAGAAGCCCTGATTTTTAATTGTCCCATCTCTGACCAGTACACTAGACTCCCTCTCTGAAACATAACCTGGGGTCCTGGCTCTCGCTCCTATGCTCTAACTACTAGCCTTTTTCTCCCTCCCCAGAGAAGCAATCTGATTCCTTATACTCTTGTCAGTGTCCCTGCTTCTCCTATTCTGGAGCAGAGCATTGACTGAGTTTTTCCATTATCCATGACATAAGATTTTTCCCCCCCATCCCTCTTGGTCATTTTAATGAATGAGGAAATCAGAGGCATCTTATTTCACATGCTCTGCTTCCATGGAACAAATCATCTTGTCATCTGTCCATCTCCCAACAGAATTGTTGGAAAGCTACATGGTGTGAGGAAGGATAGTCTTGTAGTTAAAGCCGAGGACTGAGGATCTGAGATCTATTCCTGCCTTGTTGCTGACATGATGTGTGACCATTGGCATGGGCCCAGATCAACAAAGGTATTTAGCCCACAATGCCTGAATACCTTGAGGACCTGGGCCTAACTTCTTTATGCCTCAGTTTAAAGAGCTGTTTAAAGAACTGTAAAACATTGATAATACACTGGCCTGGGAGCTTGTTGGGGTTAATTAAAGTTTGTAAAGGGCTCTGAAATCTTCTGATGGACAAAGCTATAGAAGTATTTCCAAAAGAAGTGGGTAAAAATGTACTTGAGGAAACTGCCCAGATGGGGTGGGAAAGGTTGTTTTTCTATTTTTCTCTATTATTGTTATTGCAGGTAAGGGGTTTGGATTCTGCTTATCACAAGTTTTGGTGATTAAGGCAAAAATGCTGAAGAGAAGAGAGCCAGTGATTGATAGAAAGAAATGTCTTTTTATTCCTGTAGATCTATCTATCTATCCATCCTATCTATCTATCTATCGCCATATGTACTTACAAAGATGTACGTACAGTAGCTATATCTGTCTATTATGGATAGAGAGATACAAACATTATATATAATGTTTATATATATATAATGTTTGTATCTCTCTAAAATGTGTGTGTGTGTGTGTGTGTGTGTGTATATATGTACACATATATACATGCATATACACACACACGGTATCTATATCTATCTGTATGATGAATATATAGATCTATAACTATAGATCTAACTTTATATCTATGTACAAATTGCTTTTTAACTAATTAATCTGTTTCAGCTACATGTACCTCTTACTCAAACATACCTTATTAGTCACTTTTTCTTCTTTTCTAATCCTATATTCATATTGTTTTGTCAATTTATTATTTAAAAACGTGTCTCTGCCTTACTCTAATCTTTCCTTTGGCACAGCCATTGTTTTAAAAGCCTTGTGAATGATAATAAAGTATGGGGAAAACACTTAGGAGAGCCATATATTTCTCAGCCCGTTTTCAGTTAATTAATACTTCTCCTTTCCCAAGAGGAGGACAAATCTTGGCTCCTTTGCCAAATGAAGGGAGGAAGAGAGATGCAATAAATATTCTGCGGACTGGATGTTTTGCTTCCATGGCAGTTCTGTGCTACAACTGCTGTTTAGATGAAACACCCCCGCCCCCTCCAAATTCCCCATGGGGAAACATACAAATCTCTTACCTGTGTTGAAGGTTAGGGAGTGTGCAATGCATCTGCCATCTACCACTGCCCATTAGCTCCATTCACATGGGCTTTTGCAAACAAAACTGAAGCTACTAACGCTTCAGAAGTAAGCATGGATGCACCCCCCATTTCCCATCCTCAGAAGGTGGAAACCCAAAGTATTGCTCTGAATTTGGAAGAGTCATTGATGTATTTATCTTTTGGAGGGATAGGTCAGTGATCAGAGCAGTGGTAAATAGGGGGCAATGCCCAGCGGGTGGTGGAGAGAGAGAGGACACAGATGATTCCTCATAAAATTTTTCAGTTTGACTCTGTCGTGTTTTGCTATAACATGCTGGGTGGCTCTCTGAGCACGTGGAGAATAGGTCCAAGAAACCTACTAGTTTTCCTTCCCATTAACACCTGCTTGTCAAGCGGAAGTGTCCTTCCCCACTTCCTGATTCACCTCATTACTTAAGCTTTCTCTGTTTTTAATTTTTTTTTTACAATTATTTTACGCCTGGGGTTTCCTAGCAACCAAAGGATGGCCTGTGGGACACCTATGCCCCTATGGTTGTTCCTAGCAGTGGTGGTAGGTATAGCTCCCAATACACACTGCCCATTGGTGAGAGTAGCCAGCTTCCTATTCTCCCTGACCCTTGCCAAGGAGTTGCTCTTACTTGGTGCCCCTCACCTCAAAGCTGCAAGATAGTGGGAACTGCTTCCTTGTGTCCCTTGATTACTACCAAATCTGACACCAGTACTAAGGCAGACAGAGGGCAGTGGCTGCATTTTTTACTTTTTCATGTTGGACAAAGCAGAACAGGGATTGTGGCAAGAGTTTCAACCTACAATCCGTCACTGGTTGGACCTTGAAAAACCTTAAAATTGCCGACAAAAAGTGCATGTTACCATCGTGGCTGGTGTTAGTGCAAAGTCCTGACCCCTCTCAATGAAAGATTAGTTTCAATTTGTCCTCTGCCAAGGTTTATGCAGAAGTAAACTGAAATATTCCTCTTCTAATGCTACTGCTTGAGAGAGGAGACAGAGATTATTTTATTTTCCCTTGCTTCATCACATCAAGATGCCCATCTACATAACTGAGAAGTTCTTACCTCCAGCAGTTGAGCTGCACTTAAACTGCATGGACCGGATGTTAAGAGTGGCTAAGATGCTTTCTGTGTCCACCAGAGTTGGATTGGTGGAAGCCCTCAGGTTAGAAGACAGGATGGTACACATGGTGCAGTACCTTATGTTAACTGCCCTCAGGTCTGCACAGGAGAGAGCGCTGCCCTGGTAAAAAAGGACAGATCATTGGAGTATGAGACTGAGAGAAGGGTGAACATTAAAGGGTCATAGGTTTGGTTCAGATAAGCAAACAAATTTCAGAAACTTCTCCAACATTCCTCTCACCAGTGAAGGTCCAGAAACAGAAGTAGAAACTGCAAAAGCTTTGAGCTTCTCTTGTGAAATTTTGGATACTTTCCCACTTCTTGTGGGGAGCAGGTTCTCTGTGCTTCTGCAGGAAACCAGAGAGTGCAGAGGTACCCGTAAAAGAAAACAAACTTCGGAGAAGTGAAAATTTGTCAAGAAAGTTTTGGGTTCAGGTTCAAGTTTGGGCAGAGGATCAATTAAGTTCTTGTTGGATCTGAATGAATTTGTCCATCCCTGATGAGAATACAGAATTACAGAAGGAAAATCCAATGGAAGACAAAAGAAGCAAAGTCTCATCATAAGGGGAAAGTGTCAAATTTGGAGTGTTGCACATGGTTACTAAAAACATATTGAACTTTAAAACTGTCTAAAAATGGTGCGAGTGTGTGTATGAGAGACAGAGAGAGACAGAGAGAAAGTGAGAGACTGAACAGAGAAATTCTTACCGGGAATAATAGCAGCTTTGGGAAATTCTGGATAAATTTCCACTCTCTTTTCATATATTCCAGAGACCCAACAAAGACAATGTCTTTCAGCTCCTGGTAAGTGAAGTTACTGGCTCGTAAAGGCATCACAAAGTTCCGCAGCCCAATCAATGTTGAATTAGTATCTCCAAAGACACAAACCACGATATGATCATGCAGAGGTGAAGTAGTTTGTTCCTGGTGCTTCTAAATTAAAACAGAACAGCCCCCAAGCTGCTAGTTTTTTACATTTTTCTTGGACCTTTTCCTTACTGGATAACACCCCTGCCATAGAATCAGACTTTGTATAAAATGAAACAATTCCTCATAAGTTCTTTGAGTCCAAACTCATTCCCCTAAAGTTTCAGAGGCAGGAATACAACATAGCAGAGAAGATAGCTTACAAGGGCGAGGCAAGCTACATATTCAAATCCCAATAGTATCTGCTGAGCCCTACAGTCTTCTAAGACAGTAAAATAAATACCAGGCAGTGTTGTGTTTATGAGTCTTTCTGGTGAGCCTTTAAAAAGTAAGGTCCTGTTAGCTGTGCATGGACATCACAGATACAAGGCACTTTTTCACTAAGTGTTGAAAGTTCACCTTGAAGTTGTGGTCAAAATCTCTCCCCCTCACCCACACATATATTGTTGTGAAATGTGCTCCTCTCTGTACACATGAGCAGTATATTCCATGAAGCTTGCAACTTCCTGTCAGAAAACACAGGCTGATTGCTGCAAACAGAAGAATTTTACCCAGACACCAGATTAGAACCCATTCATATGCTGTGCTTGGCCAGGGTTCTGGATTTTAAAGGGACGCTCTCCAACCTTACTTCACTGGCTGCTCCTACAGTGCTAAGGTTTTGTGTGTTCCATATCATGGCTAATCAGAACTTCATTGCAATGGTGAGATTAGAACTCCAATCATCTTGCTCCAGAAGCACAGAGCAGTATTGCTTGGAGCAAGCTATTAGCAGTATAGGGCCTACAATGCACAGTGGAGCAGTTCTTAGTCCCTCCAGTAGAGAGCAGTGGTGTCCATACACAATTTTAAACCCTCTTTGTTCCCCTCCCTCACAGTCTATTCACCTCAGCTTTACTGCCCCTCTCATCTGTGTCCCCCTCAAGCCCTTTCCCTTCAGCATCCCTGCTCCCTTCTTTTCTGTCCATTTATCCGATATCTTCCCAACCAAACCCACCCCCAAATAAATAAATAAATACATACATACATTAAATTGTAGCACTAACATGACACCTACTGCTTGCACACTGTTCTCTCTGCTTGTGTTTTATACCATGTTCCCCATGCTGTGTTTGCTACCCTGTGTTTGTGCATGAGCCCCCATTCTTGCTTGGTCCTTAGGCACTACTGCAGTCAATATGATTAATAACAACAACAACTTTGGCCAATTTGTTATTTGCATAGGATCATATTTATCCAGTTATGTATTTACTATTAATTTCAGGGTTGGGGCCCCATTGTGCAAGGCAAGGTACAAACGCACAGGAAGACATGGTTAATCATGGTCATCTCATTTAAATCACAAAGATCAGGGGAGAGGCAGAGCAATCATGTTATGGAATTTGTTTCCCTATTTTTTTGACCAGATGTATATTTGGGTTTTGCATTTCTGGTTCTGTGACGTCATATTTCCTTGTGACGCACTACACCGTTGTTTGCATCATCCTCGCTGCATGACGAGGTGCCAAGTAATGAGATGTGACTGAGGAAGCCTTATTTGATTGGTACATGGTATGTGTCCACATTAACCAGTCGAGAGCTGTCAATGTACATGGTGTGTGTCCACCTTAGCCAATGAGGTGTCAAATTAGTAAGTCCTCATAACATTCTTTCCCCAACCGCTTTTCTTCCCAGAGAAACAAAAGCATTATGGCAGAGGAAACTTTCCTGATGAGATATTACAATCATAACTAAATTAAATGATTGTCTCTAACTAATTGGATTAGTTTATATTGAATAATGAAACCTTCAACTGTATTTAATGCAACATGCCTTAAGTCCAATGATTAGTTTGTTGAATGGAGCTAAACAATTAAGAAACACAATCTATTATATAGTGTATTTTATAGGAACAATTGGAAAAACTATGGCGGCTGGAATCTGCAGAAGGAAATATGCAATTGCTAGATCAACAGGAGCAAGTATGGTATAATAAGTGAGCAATGGGGACTGGAATGTCATTTTGGAGAAACAAGTCTACAAACTTGAGGTGTAATTCCCAGCTTAAAGAATCATACTGGTGCTAGCTCCGATAGTGCTAGTGCACTAAAAAGAGCATAGCATGAGTAACGGGAGCGGCTCACCACCCCAGTACATATCCATCTGAGACGCTAGGTACGTAGCTTTGTTGGCTAGCACCTCAGGCTTCTTGCAGCCCCAGCCCCAAGTGTAGTCATACGCTAAGGATTTGAAAATGTGACTTAGGTGCTTTTGAAAATGCTACACTTGGGTTATCTGACCTGAGCCCCCAGGCCTTTCGGATATTGATCCCTTTCTATTTTGGAGACTGATGGGTTTTAGGATCCTTTTACATGCTCAGAAGGAGGATGCTGCATTTCAAGCAGCATGAATTCCAACCTGCTGCAAGTCTCCCAGCTGGCGGAACAGCTTGAACATTCTGTATGTCTGATGAAATCTTTGATCACCTCACTGCAAGATTTGGTTGCCTCCTCTCAGCATCCTGGCAGCTCAGAGCACCGCCTGCCATTTCTAAATGGAATTTTGTTCTTTTAAAAGACTAACACTTATAGTAAATAAATGAACTAAAAACAAAAAAGAAAAAAAAGAAAAAGAAAAAAAAGAAGAAAGTTTAAAGATTCCCAGACTGTTAAAATCAGAACACAGAAAGTCTTTAAATTTGCATTTAAGTCATTTTAAAAACAAAATATTTGAAAATGAGTTTCCCCTTTGCCTACCTGCCAGGACCCTCTAGTGAACCAGCTGCCTCCCCACCCTCAAGTCCTGCTGCATAGGAAAGGCCTTGCCAGAGAACGATTATGTAGTATATTAGAGATATATTAAAAAGAGCCCCCTCTCTGTGCCCCCCATATAGCCCTAGAAAGATTGGGGTTCAATTCCCAGCTCAGCCACAGACACCCTGTATGACCTTGGGCAAGTCACTTAGCTGCTCTCAGCCTGAGATTCCCATCCGTAAAATGGGGATAACACTCCTATGCCTGTCTTCTGCATGTTGAGTATACCTTCATCCTAGGCATCTGAAGAAGTGAGGTTTTTACCCACGAAAGCTTATGCCCAAATAAATCTGTTAGTCTTTAAGGTGCCACCAGACTCCTTGTTGCTTCTTTGGGAGAGGGACTGTCTCCTGCTGTGTGCATGTACAGTGCCTAGCATGATGGGGTCTTTGTCTTGGTTGGAGTCTCTAGATGCTACTGTCATACTAATAATAATAACCAGCAGGAGCAGATGGAACCACCCTCACGGATGGTACAGCTTCCAGACACTCTCATTCCCACCTGTCCCTGAGGCTCAACCCCCTCTGAGCTTCCCTCAGGGTCTCGTAGCATAGATCAGTGTCTAAAGGTCACAGTGTATCCCAAAGAGAACAAGAAAGAACACAAGTAAAGTGAGTGAGTGAACAGTGCAGGTGTGAATGTGTCCTCGGCACTGAGTACACCGTGGGTACCAACCTCTGCAGACAGCAGAGCCCTTAGATATTTAAAAAGGCATTCCCCTGAAGCAGTCATAACAGTTCCATACAGCCTAGCTAATTACACCACACCTACCAGGATAGCCTGTTCCAGTGGGACAGCCTCGCACCAGTGGAACATTCCTGTTGAATCCAGCAAAGCATTTCTATCCTCTTCTATCACGAGAGCTGCAGTCCTAAATAGACAGAGCAACTGATCAGCTACATCTCAGTCATGGTGACAGTTTAGCCACATTGAAATGATCTTTGTACCTGTTGGCAAGAACCCATCTTTGTCTGACTCATGGCTATTCAGTCCCACTGTAGCAAGGCAGATCAGTTGTATGGAGCTGTACACTACACACAAGAGTCCTGTCTTGTCCCTGCTGGTACATGGCTACAGTGATGGTGGAGCAATTTAGAGAATACAAGAGGGTATTATTTAGATTAATCCTCTTGTTAATGTGCTGTGTAGAGCCAAGCGAATGCAGGGAAAACATATTCATCAAATATTTCTTTGAATTATTATATGGATGGTTCTAGTGGCTGTTTCGTGCTCTAAGCATTGGAGTTCATCAACAGGGATGTTCATGGAAAGAGCGATTTTTATGCAACCCTGGTCTAGCCCCAAAACCCAATGAAATCAACAGGAACCTTTCCATTGACTCGATGAGTTTTGGATCAGGACAATGTTGCAGAGTATTGACAGAAAGTAAATTTCAAATATGTAGTTGTGCTTCAAAGTGTTCTACTCATCTAATCAGGGAGCAGAAACAGGACCATCTGACTTATATATCCAATCAGGTTAAATTCTGAATGCCAAATTGTTGTGATGTTTCTGACCACAAGAATTATTTAGAGAATACTTCTGAATGATAGATAATTATGAGAAAATCACTATCTGATCACAGCCAAGTCTTGAACAGAAAAAGAGGTGAAATGTGTTGAATAAATAATTCACTCAGAACGATTTTCTCTGGTTCTAAAGTTGGGGTAAAATCAACCTTGAACAATTGTCAAGAACATTTACCAAGTCAGATACAAAATCTACTTGATCACCCTATGACTGTAATGACCACAATAATGGGGGAATTAAAAAAAAAACATACGGGATTAGATCTTCTGCTAGCATAAATTGGCATAGCTCCATTGCTTCCATAGAATTACATGAGCCTGCACCAGCCGAGGTACTAGCCCTTTATATTTTACATGTCTTAGGGCTTGTCTACTCTTAAAAGGCAGCAGCGTCGCTGTAGTGCTTCAGTGAAGACGCTACCAATGCCGATTGGAGGGCTTCTCCTACTGGCGTAGGTACTCCACCTCCCAAAGAAGCGGTAGCTATGTCGACAGGAGAAGCTCCCAGCCCCATTGATATAGCGCAGTCTACACCAGGAATTAGGTTGGTATCACTACATCATTCATGGTGAACAACGCAGTTAAACCGACATACCTTGCTGGTGTAGACCATGTGTCAGAAATCTCTCATCTGACACAAACAGAATTAGCAAGGTGAGGTTCACTGAATGGGAGGGTGTTGCAGGGGCAGGAGGGAGGTGTGAAAGGAAAGGGTGACATTCCTTTATGAGGCTTGCAGGGCCTTTCTGAGTCTGTTTCTTTCCACAGGAGACCACATCAAAGACCAGGCTGGAAGTTCCAGTTGGCTGCTGCTAGCTCACCAACCTTAGTCTAAGGAAGTAATAACAAAACCCCAGGGTGTCCTCATTAGAATGGGTTGCCTTGTTCTTTATAATTTAACATGTTTCCAGGTTTTATAAACATTCACCCATCACAAGACCAACACAAAATATAAAAGCCACAAAGGGTCCATTAATGGTACTGAGCAAAGCTGTAATGACTGCAGCTTGCCAAGCAGCCCGCAAGCCTTTTCTGCGACATGTTCAAGACATTAGAACACATGCTGAGTTTAATTTTAATCAGAAGTCAGAGAGCTGGCTCCATTGCAGAACTTCAGTGCCTTCTTAACCCTGTTCCCTCTTAGCTAGCACAGTCCAGCAGGGACCAGCACCAGATGTTTCAGAAGAAAGTGCAAGAACCCTCACCCGTGGCAGATATGGGATAATCTGCCCTCCGTGATGGTCTCACTTTAGAGACTGGCTTAAACACTGAACCATAAGGTCTTATATCTCTTCCAAATTTAATTATTATTAACTATTAAAACTCTAGATATTATTGCTACCATGTAAATGTCTAGTCCCTTTTTGAATCTTGCTAAATTCTTGGCCTTAATGACATCCTGTGGCAGTGAGTTCCACTGTCTAATTACAAGTTGCATGGGGAAAAAATCCTTTTATTAGTTTTGAATTTTTCACTTTCCAATTTTATTTTCTCTCCCTTTGTTCTAGTGTTATCAGACAGGGAGATTGTCTAAACAGAACTGTCTACAGTAATTGATATATCCAGGGGAATAAATAAACCTGCATCCCTTTAAATCTCTCCAGTGTCTCTGTACAGTCTGATGCCAAATAAAGACAGTTTTGTCCATTAGCCATACTGCTCCTCCCCAGTATTCAAGGCCTCCTCCCTGCTGCCCAGATAATGAATGTCCCAGCCAGTGATTACATGGTATTTTGGAAAGTTGGAGCAGTCTTCTCACAAGCTCTTTTTACTCTACTAACTCTACCAATCAATTAGTGCACCCGTTTTCTATCATAATAAAACCATCATCTATATACACAAGCTGTCATGGGTGACATCTTCCTTCATTCCAATATTATAGGAAACATATATGCCTTGGAGGAAACACCTGTTGGAACCCTGAGATGAAAAACAAAACAAAAAAAGACTGCAAGAAATCCACTTCATCATAAAGGCATCCACCTGATGTCCTTGCCAAAGCAAAGGGGATTGTAATTTAGCTCACCATTCTTTAACTAAGGTTCCCTTCTGCCATATGCTCTGCAAATTACATGATCCTTGCAGAAAACTGCTTTCCTCGGGAGAGGAATAAATCAGCCTACACTG